AATTCGATTATCACTTATAGTTTTTGAGATCTCGATGACCCGTTCTCCATCCCGGCCCCTTTTGAGCAGGCACAAATAGGGCATATCAACATGTTGGTGCAATAAAACCATATTTCTCAAAAATTTTATATTGATCTAGCTCAACTTTAACATATAGTAATATTAAGACATCGAGTCCAAAGGGTTTTGTCAAACACTGTATAATGAATATATATTATGAATATTATGTTATGAATTAAAATGTACTGAACATTTTATTTGCGAGTAATTTAATTTTTAAAAACACAAATTGGATAACAAACAAAATTATATAAGCTCAATTATAAAATTTAATTGAGCACGTGTACTTATTGAAATACAAATTCAGTAATAAAAAATATGGCTTGAGTATAGTATAAATCATGCTAGTTCGTTTTGTCTAGGGTATATTGAATACATGCAAATTATGTGTTTAATTATTTCAAGAAGTATATTAGAAATTGATAGAAAAATGTATTTTCATTTTCTTTCAGCTTCTTTATGAGTAAATCAATTTCATTATTATTTGTAATAATATTGCGATCGATAGCCCACTCCTTATGTTTAGCCAACACTTCCCGACATTCGGGTCTTTGAGGCCATAATTTCGTGACAAACATCGAGTCCAATATTTTATGCAAATTAACTACCTTCAATAGTTCTAAGTTCAATATTTCATGTGCAGCTGGATATATGTCTTGACTATAATTTTAAAAATTAATTGTTTATTTTTTAATTAATATATACAAATTATTTATAGGTAAATAAGTAAATAGGGTAAAACTTGCTTGTTAGTATCAATTAGTGCGACATCTACTTCAAATAGTTCCCCTCCAATTAACGCCAAACTATAGATATCTGATTTGTGGTCATACCTACGACCCTGCATTACTTCCGGTGCCATATAGCGAACATCCCCTACCTCTTTGGTGTTTGTAATATATTTGTCGTGAACTGTAGCCAAACCAAAGTCACATAACTTAATAAACCTGCCGTTCCTTACATTCTGTGAAATCAATATATTGTCGGGTTTGAGGTCTCTGTGTATGACCCGTGGATTCAATTCATGCAAATACTGAACACTTTCTAAGATTTGTCGAAATATTTCACACGAAATGAAATACTCGACTAAATTTATGAGATCTCCAGGTTGTCGACCAAATGCATGTGGTTTGGCTTCAAGAATATTCATAAGATTTTGCGAACACAACTCCATTACAATGAATTGACACTTATTTTTGATCCACGAGTCGTAATACTGGACAATGTATTGTGAGCTAACTTTCGACAGGCCCTCCACTTCTCGGGAAATAGTTTTCAATTGAATTTCAGTAAAATCTATAAAAATATTTCCAAAATTAATAATTCTAACAAAGCAAAATAAATACAAGTTGATAAAATTTATAAGCACTTACAATTAGATGGGAATATTCTATATATGGATATAATTTATTTTATTTATTAGAGTAGATGGATGTGAATGATTTAAAGTACCTAGATTATGGGTTGGTTAAACGTGATTTTATATATTAAATATAATAAATTAATGAAATGATAAATTTGTATTTAAAATAACTTTATATGAATAGCCGGCATATCATATTTTATTAAAAGGCACTCAACCCTATGACGGTACCCATAGGGTCCTTAATGTGAAGATAAAATTTCTTTATAAATATGCGTAAAAATTATATGTAATATGTCTGTTATTCATGCCTCATATAATGTCATTTAAATACAAATTAACCATGATAGTCATTAATTGTAAGTAATATACAAAATAAGGCTTAATCCATTAGCTTAATTTAGGTACTTTTTATCATTCATTACTATCTACTCTAATAAATAAAATAATTGATAAGCAAATACAGAATATTCCCTTCTTAGCTTACAGTTGTTTGTAATTAAGATACGAATATACAAAAAGGTGACATGAACACTTGGGGTAATATAAAATAAAAACAGTTAATATAGCGTTCAATTGTCTAGTAATATTGTACGCAGAGTTCATGTCAACCTTTTTTATATGAGGTAGGTATAATATATACAAAAATGGTATGAACATAACGTACAATATTACACTACAGCATTGTAAGCAATATTATTTCTATTTTATATTACTCATAGAGCTCATGTCATTTTTAGGAATATCCTTATCTAATATTTCAAATGTACTTTTTTAGATTAAATCATTTCATATACAAAAATAATTACCTTCAAATCCAATTCGTTTCAATGCGTACTCCATAAGATTATAATTATATTTCACCTTGAACACTTCCCCAAAGCCCCCATTTCCAATTTTCGAAAAGTCTTGAAAACTATTCCCATTTATAGTTACTTTAGTATACATTCCATTTAAAAACTCATAGAAAAAAGAGTTTCGATTAGATTTAAGTCTATTTAAAATATATTCAAATTCGATATCATTTTGGAGAATATTCTTATCGATAGACCACTCGTTATGTTTAGCCAATACTTCCCGACATTCCGGCCTTTTATTCCGATTTCGACTTAACATTAAGTCCAGTAGTGATTGCAATTGAAATATCGGTGCTTTTAATGTATTGATAATATCTGAATATTGGCCAGGGCTGTAAATAAATTAAAATAAAAACTATATATTTTACAATTATATTGGAATATTAATTCATAAATAATTCACAAAACCTCTGCAAATCAACTGAACATAAATCCCAATCAAATATTTCGCATCCAATCATTGCTAGGCTATAGACATCTGATTTATGATTATAGTCCCTGTGATCACTCATTTCCGGGGCTATATATAACATCTCTTCAATACTTCTCATGTTATTAGTTGCAAATGAATTTTCATTAGTACCGGTATTTATAGCCAGACCATAGTCACATAACTTAACAAATCTACCGTTCCGTAAATCATTAACTATGAATATATTATCGGGTTTGAGGTTTCTGTGAATGATAGGTGAATTTAATTCATGTAAATATTGACCACATTCTAATATTTGTCGGAAAATATCACAGGATATGTAGTATTCAAATAAATTCATGGGATCTCCTATTTGCCGATCAAATGCTTGTCCTTTGTCTTCAAGAATAGAGCGGAGACTATGGGAACACAACTCCATTTCAATAAAAATAGAGTCATTAGCATAGTGTAGCTGTTTATAATTTAAAATATATTCAGACGGTGTAATCATTATGTGGTTGATCTCATCCAATAAATCATTTATTTTGCTGAATTCCAGTCCTAATACAAATTAGTTTAAATTACAAATTAACTTAAATTTATTAATTTAAAATTGAGAAATCTACTCACTATAAGTAAACCAAAATTAAAGTAATAAATGTTTTGTCGAGAAATTATACAATATGGGCTAACTACATTTAAAATTATTTTTTATTGTGCCGACTAGAAATATGTACTAATTCAATGTTAGGTCAAACTATAAGGTCAATTAAAAAAGATTATTGTTGTAATTAACATAATAAAATATACCATTCAATGGCACGATGTAAATAGTGACACTCTGATTGTCGGGTTTATCCATTTGTTCAATTGTGCCAAATGCACCAGTACCAATTACCGTGCTTGTATTTGTACTTATAGTTTTTAAAAACAATTTATGGTAAGGTATGTACAGTGTTTTGCTTATCTCTTGGAAAAATAGGTTTTCACAATAATGTAGCCTGATCAGTTGTATCCGAAATTGGCTCTCATTTGTCACGCTTTTATCGATAGACCACTCGTTATATTTAGCCAAAACTTCCCGACATTCAGGCCTTTTATACCGATTACGGCTCAACATTGAGTCCATTAGTGATTTCAATTGAAATACCGGTGCGTTTAGTATTGTATTAGATATAGAATATTGGTTTTGACTATTAAATATAAAGATATAAATTATTTTTAATTTGTGTTTAACATACAGTATAATAAATATCCAGTAGTAACACGAAAATTATTTAGGAAATATTAAATTTAAAAATTTCATAACTTATACACATTGGGAAAATTTGACGAGAAAGCTTTAATTTAATTGTTTTTTATGTTTCTATAATAGACTAGAAGACCTGAAATTGATTGTCAGCACCTGGGCCACCTAATATAAACATAGTTCTCAATAACCATAACAATTTAGGGATGATTTTGTGTCACATTTTGTAAAAATATTTTTAATTATAAATAGTTTTGCCCTTAATTAATTTCCACCCCATTTATAAACGAGTTATATTTGACTGAGTTTTTAAAATGTAATTACAAATGCTTTAATATTGCTAATATTTGCTAAAATTCTAGTCTGTTATCTAAATAATCTGCATTAAGCTTATGCAATGAACGTTAAATATAAATCTTTTTCATAGTAGGTAGAATAAGTATTAACAAATTTATAAATATAATCTGGAAATTAGTATAATTATTTATATTTCTATAAATATTATTATGTAGTCCAAATAATGCATACCTATTTGCATCGAAATCATATGAGTCAAATTCAAATATCTGCGAACAGATTTGACCAAGGCTATAAACATCTGATTTTGTGGTAAATTTAAGCGTTGACAAAACTTCCGGTGCTATATATTTTAAGAGTTGTACACTTATCCTAATTTTATTATTCCTGCCATTATTTAAATCAGCAATGTACTTATCGAAACCAAAGGCACATAACTTAATAAATCTACCGTTCCTTAGATTTTCAGCGATCAATATATGTTCGGGTTTAAGGTTTTTATGAATGATCTGTGGATCCAATTCATGCAAATATTGAACACATTCTAAGATTTGTCGAAATATTTCACACGATATGTAAAACTCGACACAATTCATGGGATCTCCTATTTGTCGATTAAATACTTGTGATTTAACTTCAAAAATATTCTGTAGGTTTTCGGAACACAATTCCATTTGAATGAAAAGGAATTCCTTTTCGACCCAAACCTCGTAATAATTGATTACATATTCCGACCGAAGTTTTATTAAAGGTTGAATTTCGTTATTAATTTTAATCTTTAAAACTTGATCTATTAGAAATAAAAGAAATTAAAACATTTAATATTTGTTATTACTATAGTATTTTATAAAACAACTTGTTAAAAATAATAAAATTGCTGTTTATTAAAAGTATTTAAGAACCACAATCTGAAACCTTTGTCACTTTAATTCTTTACAGAACTTTGTAACTTTACTTAAAACTTACTAATCTACTTTTTGATTTACAAATATTGAATAATATTTCCCCATATTCTGCAATATACTGGGAAATGATGTTGGGACAATTATTTTACAATTTTCACAATGAACAGAGTACTCTATTAAAAATATAATATAAAATTTATAAAATAAAGCATTGCATAAATTACCTTTTATCAAATACCGTTTAACAGCATAATTGAGTCCATCTACTTTTCGTTGTACATTAAACACAGTTCCAAAACAACCACTACTTATGGTTGATATCTCATTAAATGTATCATGGTAGACTATTTTAGAATTCATTTTTACTTATTTTAATTCATTAAATCTAATTAAATCAAATATTATAATTAATTTATGAACATCCATTTTAATAGCCCACAATAAATATAAATATAATGACTGCGCAATATATAATGGCATTTCATATAAACTAATCAGTACAATAAATCTTAACTGAATATTACGTATTAAAGCATTTAGCAATGTAGCTTAAGTAAAAAATTAAAATGAACAATTATCAATTTTAATCAGTAAATTAGCTTATGTTGTAAAAAATTAATAGAATTTATATTATTCATTATAAAAAAATAAAATATTTTCAGATAAATATTAATATTTGGTTTCAACTGGGCTAATTTTATAATTAAAAAGTTTTAAAATGCATAATATTAGCTAAAGTTAACTGTACTGGTTTGTCTAATCATCATCTGTGTGTTACTATGGAAATTAATACTGGAAATAAATGGTTGTTAATAATAAGCAATTTGTATAAACAAACAAATTATTATTATTTGTTAATATTATTTTATTATAGAATAGGTTTAAAATTATAAATAATTAATAATTATGAATTACTTTTAAATAGTTTGGAAATAATGTAAGTATAATTATATTTACTTGTGTTTTATGTTTTCAAATATTAATAAAGTTTATAATAGATTATTTTAATTAGAATTACCTTTAATTAAATAACCTTTGACCTTTTATAAATTAATAGAAATGTACTAAAAGTTTACATTCATTTTCAAATAATTGTGGTATATATTTAAAAATTAATTTCTTGAAAATAAAATTCAATTTAATGTTAGTACAAATTAAATATTAAATGTCATGCAAATTTAGATTATTAATCTATATAAATAATATATTACTTAATTATATTTTAATTTACTAATTTGATTATCACCATTAGATCATAGATAATGAGTGGATATAGGATTGTAGAGATCGTGAACGATATATTTCTTTTTGACAAACTATTACTAAAAAGTATACTGACCAAGATCAATGATAAACAATGTGATAAAATAGCAATCATATCGGTGGTGGGTCCTCGTTTCGAGGGCAATACATTGACTGTAAATCTTATATTAAACTATTTGGAGAATTGTGACCAGGGTGATTGGCCAAACAATGCTATACTTAAACATGAATATGGTTTCAGAAACTATCATTTTGTTCAGGGTACTAGCGTTAATATTGCTGAACACCCGCAAATAGAAATGCATTTTGAACCATTGATTTTGGATCGTGGTGGTAAAAAAGTTGCAATACTATTAATTAGTCTACATAATTACCAATTTACTTATAAAGATCTTACCAAAAATAGTCAGTTAATGCGGTCATTTAATTTATTATCACAATTATCAACCGTGCTAATTGTTAACCAAAATGCAAGTAGTTTAGCTTAATAATTATGTCATATGCTGATAATTTATAGCTTATTTAAATATAAATTTTAAGCAAATATATGAACCGACGGTTAAAGAGATTATGAATTCGTATGACTCGATGTCCAGTGAATTGAAAGGTTTAAAAGGATTTTATTGGCAAGAATTAAGACAATTAATGGCTGACCATAGAGTAGTACTCAAAAAATTCATTGAAGGTTATGAAAACTTTTTAATCAATTGTGAGGAATTGTGCCAAAGGGACGAGTATTTTATAAATGATGAGCATTTATATCAGTATTTACCCAATAAATCGGTTATTGTTGACTTATTTCACGGTAACTCATATTTACGCCAAAAATACGCTGAATTCACTCAAAATCTCATTGATGTCTACAAACGGAAAATATTAGAAATCAATGAAACAAATAAAAATATAGTTTTTGAAAGTATCGAAATTGCTCGAAAACTCTATGAGAAACAAATGTGTGAATTACTAAAATCCGGTACATTTACTGATAAGTCATTGTATGATAAACATTACCGTATTTGTGATATAATTTATGATGAAATTATGTTCAGTCTAAATCAATCACAAAAGCAATATAAAATAAAACTTTTAAATAGATGCATGAATGAAATAGAAAACGAGCTTCGCCCCATATTCAATGATTGTTTGAGAGAAAATATGGGAA